GTGGAGGAGTGCCTATCTGTAATGCAAAGAACCTTCCCCGCCACATTTTATCCAACACAGAAAGAAGTAAACAAAGTACCCTCGTTGCACACTTATGAGAGGCGAACAAGCTGAAAGCCACAATCTTACTTTTTACCTATGAAGTAAGGACATCAGTTCACAGTAACATCGGACGCCAGCACCAGGTTCCCCGTTCCCTCCCCAGCTCTCATGCAGAGAGCACCCCGCGGCTGCCATTTTCAGAAAGAAACACCCAACACAGCCGGCTGCAGAGTGCCGTCCTCGCCGTTAGAGGTAGTAGAGGCGGTTTGAGAGGGACAGGTTGGGCTCTCTGTGGATACTCTGGCCCACAAGGAAAGCCAGCTTGTGGGCGTACTGGCAGGGAGCAGGCACGCGGATGACACCCTTCAGGGAAAGAAAAACACAAGCCCTATTACTCCTGATGATCTCTGGGCCACCCATCTCGCCAACCAAGGACCTGGAACCAAGGATCCTGTGGTGGGGTGGCAGGCGTCTCGGGACTCACCGGCCAGTTGTAGTACACGTGGCACAGCTTGTAGGTCAGCCGCTGGATGTGGTCCGGCTTGAGGCCACTGTTGTCATAGATGACGTTGTAGTGTGTGGGCGAGACGCTGCCGCTCCTCACAGCTTGGCTCACGATGAAGAAGTCGTACCTGGATTACAAACCCAGACGGGGGGAGGGGTGTGTGTGGGCTGAGTACTAACATCGAGGCCACGCAAGTCTCTCCAGTGGGCCGGCCCTGCACCCAGCCCTTCTCAGGATGGAAGGGGCCTTCCACCAAGTCCGGAGCCTGTTCCTCCTCCGCCTGTCCTTCCACAGAAGTTACGGAGCTTTACCAAGTGCCGATTCCTCCCCTTAACTTACCGTCCTCCAGAACCCGTGTCTAAACTGTCATCTACCTGAGGAACAACAGAGGGGACCAACCACCCGCCTGTCAGAGAGCAGGGCGCCCAGTCCAGAAGTGCAGGAAGGGTCCGTGGACAGCATATACCCATGAACTCCGCAGTGGAGCCACGCGGACCCTGGCGCCAGCTGCCTTCTTTTGAAAGGCAGAGAGACCTGGTGGTTTAGTGGTGAAGGGCTTGGTTGCTAACCACACAGTTGACAGTGTGAATCCACCAGCTGTCCCCTGGAAGGGAAATGTGGCCCTTCTGCTCCATCCTAGAGGGAAGCTCTGAGCTGCAGCCAACCGAGCGGTGGTGGGTTTGCTTCAGTTTCTTCCACGGGCAACAACAGAGCACACCCTCACTACTGCTGGTGCTGAGCTGGAGGTTCCTTTGCTACAGACCCTCTTGTCCTGCCCGCCCCCCCAAGGGGTTTTGAGCAGCAGCGGTATCCCCCTCTGCCCTGGCTCTCCAGATTGAACGGGACCCTATGCCTTCAGGGTGGCTTTCCTGTCCCATCAGGCCAAAGTCCACACACAAGCTCTGGGTACACAAAAGCCACAGTTCTCAGCCACTGGGATCTAGAGCTATGCCTGCTTCCATTGGGTGTGACAGGGCAACAGGGTGTGAGTGTGAGGCCAGCGAGGTAGGCCACACCACAGCGCAGCACGCCAGTGCTCCCTCCTTAGCTTGTGCAGATACAGCTAATTCTAGGCATGACTAACCAACTCTTCCCAAAGAAAAGCTGCTCAGAAATCCTGGTCCGCCTTAGACCCTACTTTACAGATGATGTCAGAACACAGGGCGCCCTGATGGCATAGTGGTTCTGAATTGGGCTGCTGACCACAAGGTCAGTAGTTCAAAACCACCAGGTGCTCTGAGGGAGAAAGACAGGGCTTGGTCCTTCTATAAAGAGCTAGTCTCAAAAAGTCACAGGGGCGGGTCGCTGGGAGTCGGCATGGACCCGAGGGCAGTGAGAGCACACTGGCGGGAGACCTGGTGTCTTCGAGGGCACGCAGCGTGCACATGTGTGGCACAAGCTGGTGTGAAGGCTGCCGGGGAACTCACCACTCGGGTCTGGTGACCTCCACGTCAATGACTGTTCCAGGAAGTGGGTTTTGGAGTCGTCCTCCCGATTGGGCAAAAAAGCGGGCATTCACGCGTTTCTTCACCACAATGACGGTGAGCCTAGGGCTAGGGTAAGCACGTAGTCAGTCTCGCTCACCGGCAGGAGGGCCATGGCTCCCTCAGACGCTCCCACAGTTGACTGCAGCCAAGCAGCCCCCACAGCGGACTCCGACACGATCGTGGCAGGGAGGGCAGCACGGGGTCAAGGAGCGTTTGCACAGAGGTCACGACAAGTGGGAACAGATTGGAGGGCAGCTGGAAAAGGCGCCTGAGCCCCTGCTGGGTGAGGAGTCCATGGCGAGGGGACAGAGGGTGTCGGGTGTCTTCGCTGTGACACAAGGTCACAGCTTCCTCACAGACCAGACCAGCCACTACCGGCCGCCTCATCACCCACCCTTATTGCCTCAAAAGGTGCTTCAGGGGACATGTGTCTCCGGGGCTCCCAGCTGAAAAGCCCCCACTGTGGGCCCCCCTTCAGCTATGTGGAACTTGGGGTATTAGCCTGAAAGTCTTGGTCAGCGAACTAGTGAGCGCTTAAGCCCCACAGCGTAACCAGCTGTGTCAGCAGGTCGGGGCTAGAAAGTTCCAGAGGAAGAACTCGATGAGCAGACTACCACACCAGGACACCCTACAGCAGCCACTGTCCTGCCCTCCCATCTCAGCAGAGCAGGTTTCCCGTGCCCCTGCCCAAGCCTGGTCACTTCCCAGAGGCCTGGTTAGCTCTCCTGTGCTGCTCGCTACACCCACACCAGCGCACGGAGCGCCGCCTGGAGGCTGCCAGTGCCGGGTGCCCTGGAGTGCCTTCAGCTCCCTCCCTCTTCAAGCGGCTGTGGCTGCTCGGCAGACATCCTGGTGGCAATCAGACAATCAGAACGTGTGATGCACGGTAGCAGTGACAGCACAGGATGAGCAAACACTCCATGCAGGTCGCCATGACGACGGCCTCAGTGATTCTGTGTGACCCCTTCAGGACACAGGTGAGGCTCCTAGTGGTGCAGTGGGTTAAGTGCTAAATGCAAGGTTGGCAGTTCAAACCACCAACTACTCCGTATGAGAATGAGGCGGCTCAGCTTCCACTCAGATTTACAGCCTCAGAACACCTGTAAAGGATCCACTAGGTGACGGAACCAACTGGGTGGCTTAGGTTTGGCCAGAGCACCAAAAGGCCCAAACTCACTGCCATCGAGTCGGTGCTGACTCCGAGCCCCTGTGGGTCTACGAGACTGTCATGGTTCCTGGCAGTCGAAAACCCAGTCTCTCTCCAGAAGAGCCGCTTACGGGCAGCCCCAAACTACCAACTATGACGTGGTAGCCCACCGTGGAGCTGCCACACCACAGGCACTCCTTGCAATGCCAGACTTCTAGTTTTCACCCCAGACATCAGCAAAGTCAGGTGGAGTAGGTCGCTCCCCTCAGACTGGCCTAGGGATAAACCCAGGCGCATGGCAGTGGTGACTCACAGAGAAGGCCCAAGCAAGGGCCTTGCTATATACCCTCCGAGGACACTGTTGGGAGTGTCGCCATCTACACGCAGATGAACTGCAGCTACTGTCTAGCCGACGTCTCCCTGGACCCTGACGGAACCCAGCGAGCCCTGCAGGGGAGCCTTCGGGCCCTCACCTTCCTGCTGCCTGTGACAGGTCTGAGGGGATGGCAACTTGCTGGGAAGTGATGGCTGCTTTAGTTCCTAAACATGGCACTTTGCAAAAGGGCGGAAAGGCCAGAGATCATTTCAACCCTGTAACGATTTATTCATGCTGAGAAGTGAACCACTGAGAAGCCACCTAGCATACAAAATTAGCACAGGTGGTCAAAGAAAGACAAGTCACAAATATGCTGACCTGACTTTCTGATTTGCTTTGTTGTCAAACTTCCCAAATCAGCTAACAATTTGCTGGCACTGCACCTTCACATCAACTTCACGCATCATTGCCAGGCTTGTCTAGCGCATCTCGTGGTCACTGCCGTCACTCCGCCTCCCAGGCCCCCGGCGCCTCTACTGGAGGCTCTGTGGCCGCTCTGCACTGAGCGAGTTCACTGGCACCATGTCTCCAACAGCACGCGCTCTCCTTGTGCCTCTGGCCCCTCGTGGGCATTCTCACAACAGCCGCCCTGCTCCACAGCGCCAGTGCGCACTCAGCGCCTCCAGCGGAGTGCGCGCCACTTCCTCCTGCACTCAGAACCAGACGTCCACGGCTGCTTGACTGCGGTACCCGCCGCACCCCTGACAGCTCTCCCAGGTCTGGGTCCTGTGGGCAGGTGTTGCACGTGGCGGTCCCATCGTGTCTTCCCTCCACCGAGTGGAAGGTCCGTTCCCAGCTGACCCACATCTGGCTCTACAGCTCCCTGCTCTTGACCACTCACATCCGTCCACTGCCACACAGCTGCACCACCAACCATGTGGCATCTGCCACACAACTATGGGCACTGGTGCACACAAGCTATCGGTGTAGTCCTACCCTCTAGTGGGCATGCCCACTGGCCCACGAAGTGGTGGCCAGGCCAATTCCCTGGGCTCATTAGCTCAGTACTGCCAGTCTGTGCCCAAATACCACGGGGAAATTCAGTTGACAGCCATTCACTCTGCCTCTCTGCTGGGAAGCAGACAAGGGGCCCAGAGCCCAGTCCACCTGCCCAACAAGCAGTGTGTACCAGCTGCACCCGCCCCCAGGGCCTTTGATGAACTTAAACTACTCACCTCCAATGGGTACTTCTTGGAAACACACACTGCCAAACGCTGTGAGTAATAAAAAAGACTAAGGGAGAAACATCCACTTGGATTTCTCGATTCCCTTCACTCCCACAAGGTCCCAACAGACAGGACATGCAGCTCAGAAGACATGCACAAGACATGGTTAACCAAACCCCAAACATGGTGTATTCAGCTTCCTGCCAACGTGGTGGCCAAACAGACATACCACACAGACTCTCGACAACCAAGACACAGGAAAAGAGAAGCAGAGGAAAAACCGGGAGCCCTGGACACCAAAGGAAAACCAGGTTAAATGCGGCAGACATCGACCCAGAGAAATAAAGGCTGGAACCCAAGCAGAGAAGTCAAGCAAACCAGTACATTTTCTGTTGCCCGGCTTCGCGCTGGCAGCTCTGTCCGTGGTACAGCAGGGTCCAGTGCTCAGCAGCCTGACGGGTGAGAACTTCCCAGCTCACCACAGCCTTCTGGTGGGCACGTGTAACTGGGCTCTGCCAAGCTGTGCCCCTGGCTCCACATCCCCTTGGTGGTGGGTGTGGTGTGAAAGAGGGGTGGACTGCTGGACTGCAGCATGGGAGGACGTTGGGGTAGGGAGAATGGGAGCACCTCCAGCACTTCCCTCCCCATGGCTCCCTGGTGCGTGGAGGGGTCGTTGACACACATATTTGCACACTGCACCAGCAGAGGCTGAAAACCCCACTCGGAGTCAGCAGAGGGTGCACGTGCCCTCGAGTTGTGTTGCTTTTAACCACTTGAGCAGGTGCAGTCAGGCCAGAACCCCCTAATGACCCACATTCCTGGTGACCACAGAGACTAGCCACAGGGTAGGCCACAAATTCTGGCACTTGGCAGCTGCGGCAAATCTCCACTCAGTGGTGGCAGCAGCTGTGAATGCCTTAAGGCTGCCAGTCTGGCTTGGAATTTCTGTCTTCATAACCCATCAGTGACCAAGCACAGGGCTCAAGAGGGGTGGAATCACCCCGAACTTCCTGAACCTTTGGTGTCCAGGAAAATCGCCAGTCCCCCCCCCCCATGGCACTCCTATGGGATATGCTAGAGTGGGAGCTTGGAAAGCCTACGGTGGTGACTGCTTGTGTGAATGTGTTATCTCATTTTGTTGTTGTTGTAGATTTGTCTATTGAAAAAGACATTTCTCACTACACCTGATGTAAACAACTGTTTCCACACAACCTAGCCACCCCCACCCCACCAGCCACACTTAAGTGGGCATGGGCCACCACATACTCCAGTACTAACGCATCAACAAATAAATACAAATAAAAAGCAGCACCAAGCCTTAGACACAAAAGTTACACTTCATACAAAGAAACAGGATAGAATGGAACAATTTAAAGAGCCAAAAGACCTTCTTGTGAAGGTTAGTACAGGAGAAAGACAAGGCTTTCTACGCATGCCAAGATTTCCTGTCTTGAAAACCCACGCGGGCAGTCCTGCCCAGTCCTATAGGCTTGCTTGTCAGCTGGGATCAACGTGACGGCGTGGGTGGAAGGTAAGGCATCGGCACTGCTGGAAAGGGATTCAGAAGAATGAGTTTTAGGCACTTCCAATCGATGAAGAAAAGGAGAAAAAAATACAGAAGAAACTTTGTAAGAACTCAGGAGAACACTACGAGAGCAATCTAACAATTAATGCAAGGAAAAAGTAAAGATAAATCACACAAAATCAGCAAATACAAATCCCAGGGATGAATACTAAGAATATTATAAACAAATAATACTTAAAAAAAACCCACCAAGGCAAGAGAAGCAGAACAGCGCATGGCCTGACTGACGAGCTTGAAGACGTCTCTCAATACGTCCAAAACACCAAAACTGTAGAAAGTCTAAGAATTTTGTCGGAATCTATCAAGAAGAACAAATTTGAGAACAACAAACAAACAAAACCAGAGAAAGTTCAAGAGTTTTCTGACCATGAGATGATAAAATAACCATTCAAGAAGCTTTAAAAAAAACCCAAACAGGATAGATCCCCAAAGAAGATCACCACAAGATCATAATCAAACTTTCCAAAGTAAAAGACAGGACTCTTGAGGGCCTCTTGGCAACATGAAAAGCCACTGCAGCGGGGAAGCAGTAAGACTAAGCTGATTGTTCACCAAGACCCATGCAGCAAGGAGGACAACGGGAGAACGTGCAACAGCTGTGTATGGGGGAACGACGCCAACCAGGGGTTTTCTATCCAGCAAAACTGTCCCTCAAATGTGAGAAATAGGGCACTTCCAGCTATGGAGAAATTAAAGGAATCTGTAAAAACAAACCGACCTTACAAAAACCACCAGGGGGAGCTCTGTGGTCCAGTCAGCAGTAGCGACAGACAAGCAGACATTCTCACTCAGAAGCCAACCCGTTCCCCGCGGCGCCTCTCCAAGCAAGGGTGACTTACACAACCGGAAACAAGGAGTTGGAGATGCACGTCTGCAATGGTGGCCATGACAAAGTCAACAGAAGAAACTGCCCATTCAAGACACTTGACCAGAAAGGAAGTTCACAAGATTTCAAGAGAGAACAGACTACTTTTTAGACATAGGCAGAAAATAATGACAAGGTATAACCTTCAGTAAAATGGAAAAAAGTTATCCAAAAAAAAAAAAAGGAAATCACAAAGACCACATAAAAGGGTAAAGAAAAAACAATAAAACCCATAAACAAAATGAACTCAGCACAAAAAATTACAAGGAAGAAACAGCAGCAGCAAAAGCAACAACAAAAAAGCAAAATGCAATAAATTCATACCTATTAACAATGCTAACTGTAAACTGATTACCTTCATCGGTCCAGAGACAAAGAGTGACAGAATGGATAAGATAACAGGAGCAACCAATATGTTGTCCACGAGAGACACATCGTAGACACAGACAAAAACAGGTTCAAAAATCAAAGGATGGACAAAAATGTATCAAGCTAGTGGCAAATTTTAAAAGTGGGACTGCGAGGGTGGGAGGTGGGGGAGGGAGGGGAAAGAGGAGTTGATACCAAGGGCTCAAGTAGAAGGGAAATGGTCTTGGGTATGATGGCAATATATTTACAAGTGTGCTTAATAATACAATTGAATTATGGATTGTTATAGCATCTGTTTAAGAGCCCCCAATAAAATGATTAATAAAAAAGTGGGAATGGCAAATCAATCTAATAAAACAAACTTCACGGTAAATTCAACCATGAGATAAAGAAAGGCATTGCATAATGACCAAAGGGGCAATTAAACAAAATATATTAATGACATTATTATAAATTTGAAGAGAGCAATAGGCGATACTGCAATAACGTAGGAGACTCCACATGCCACTCTCAAGGAAGGGTAGAACAACTGTAAAGAAACTCAACCAAGACACAAGATAAACTGAGCAATGCGATTAACCAACTTCCTACATCTATGCAGAACACACTACCCAGCAATTGCACACAATGTATTCTTGGCCAGCACACACACAACACTCTCCAGAATAGACCTTAGGGTAGGCCCCAAAGCAAGCCTTGATAAATTTAAACAAACCGAGACATTATGAACCATCTTCTCAGATTACAAAGCTATGAAATTAGAAATCAATAGGAAGATCAGAGGGAAAAAATAAAATACATGGAAACTGAACAAGACCCTGCTTAAAAACTACCAGGTTATTAAATAAATATGGAATGAAATCTAAAAATTCCTTTAACCAAATAACAATGAAAATACAACACACCCAAAGCTTTAGACATAGCTAAAGTAGTAACTAACAAGGCAATTTACAGTAATAAATCCGTGTAGCATAAAAAGAAAGTCAACAGTTGAATTCAGCACTCAGAATTAGAGTGGCAAAACCAACCTTCATCCACCAGAAGAAAAGAAATAATAAAAATGAGAGCAGAACTATTCAATCTGAAAACAATAGAAATCAGCCAGCTAAGGCGGTTTCTTGAAGGATGAACAAAACCAACAAACTACTAACAAATGTAACAAAAGATGCAAGTATCACAAATAAATGAAATGGGTGACATTACACACAACAGAACTGAAACAAAAAATGTAATACACGGCTATATTAAGTTCTGTTCCCCGACTAATTTGAAAACCCAGGAGAAATAGATTTTTTGAAACAGATATCTACCTAAGTTAACAGACTGATGTAGAAAACCTGAACAGACCCATAACAAGAGAAACTGACATGGTTATAAAAAATTCCCCAAAGACAAGGACAAGCCCAGGAGCAGATAGCTTTATCAGGGAATTCTACCAAGCTTTCCGAGAAGAGCTCACACCAATTCAACTCATGTTATCCTAAAATACAGCAAGCCCCCCACCAATTTCATGAAGCCAAAAATGAAGCAAAAACATGATCAGAAAAGACCAACAGCCCCTATGAATATAGATGCAAAAATTCTCAACAAAATCTTAGTGAACAGAGGCCCACGAAGTATCCACCCCCACCCCAAAACAAAAGAAATCAGACCAAGTGGGATTCATCCTAGATAGGTAAGGATAGTTCAATATTAGAAAACCAAGGTCATCCATAAATAAAAGCAAAATCAATCATGCCTTTTATATGGGAAGGATCAGCAAAGCTCGACTAATGGAGGCAAACAAAGTAGACAGCCTCTCACCTCCAGACCCCAAAGCCTTTGACAACAGCCACCACAGTCCAATGCCCCGTCCTGGGACAACCAGAAGTAACTCAGAAGTAAATCCACCCACCCAGAGACGGCTAATTTTTGACAAAGAGCCAAAAGCACATTCGAAGAGGACGAGATCGCCTCCTCACCCAATGGTGTTGACAAAATTGGATTTCCACTTGCAGAAGAATGAAGCAGGGCCCATACTTCAACCCATATTAAAGAAGATTGAAGACCTAAATGTCAACCCTAGACCTATAAAGACCACCAATGAACAAATAGAGGCGAGCACACGAGCAAACAGGACGGAGTGTGGGCACGTGCGCGCGCACACATGCCAAAGCAGATGGCTGCAACCGCCTACAAATAAAAGACACTTATGTGCATCCAAAGATTTCACCAAAAGGGTAAAAACAGAACCCACAGACTGAGAAATTCTGGCAATGACATAGCAGAGAAGGGACTATTCTCTAAAACCGACACAAAACTTCAAGAACAATATGCGCAATCCAAAAAATGGGCGGAAGGACATGGACACTTCACCAAAGACGACGTTCAGGCCGTCCACAAACCGATGAGGAAATGGTGACAGTCACCAGCCATCTGAGAGATGCGAATCCACACACTGATGAGGCGCCAGGTCATCCTAGCAGTGACGGCACACTTTCAAAGCAGAAAAGGACACATGCTGGATGGAGGGCCCCCGACTGTCCATCACACACTGCCAGGGAGCGGTGAGCCCGTGCCGTCGCAGCAGGTGAGATGGCACTCCCTCAGACAACTGGGGATGCGAGCACGACAGGGTCCACCGATCCCTCCAACAAGACAGACACACGGCATCAACAGATAAGTGCACGTGCATGCTAATCCCAGCATGCTTCACAATTGCAAGAAGATGGAAACACCTCCATGGCTACCCGTGGGAGAATGGCTAAGTAAGCTCCGGTCCATATCCACAGTGGATTATCAGGCGATATCATATAACTTTAACGACTGTGAAGCACTTCACGACCTGGATGGATCTGGAGGACAGAGTGCTAAGTGAAGTTAATCAATCACCAAAGGACAAATATTGTATGGCACCACTGTTAAGAGTAAAAGTTGAAGCCTTTTATACCCAAAGGGATAGATTTGATAGCCACCAGGGAAGGCGAAGTAATAGGTTAGAGCAGACAGGCATCAGAGTTGGTGACAGACAAGAGAATGTCCGAAGAGGAAGTAAGGGGGGGGGACAGGGCAAGCCATACGGAGGTTTGGTAACTTGTTGAAAGCAAAATGATCATCTCATCTGTGAGCCTCATCAAATTTGCAATACAAAATTCAAAACCAAAACCAGAACCAATGGAATCAGTTTCATTCTCACAGGGAGAAAATACAAGAATTAAGATGGAATAATATTCCAAGGTATTAGTTAATGATTATATATTAGCCTTTTCACTTAAAAATGAAAACAACTCGGGCTTCCTTTGGCCTCAGGTCTCACGTTTTAATAGACTTCTACAACTGACACTGATTTGAGGAGCCCTTTAGAATTTGGCCAGTGATGATCTTGGAAGTATCTTCCAGTTGGTTGGCCAATAAAAACATACGAGAGGAGCTCCTGATAGTCACCCTATGGACCCCAGCATGAAAGCCAGGCCCAGGTACTGGAAGTGGCCTTCAAGCTCCCCGTTCCTGATGAACATCTATCTACACCACCATCAAATGATGGCTACAACGGGCTGGCAAGATTCAGTAGCTGTTACATATGCACACGCACACAAGCCAGTCCCTGGATCTTCTAGGTACCCTGAGAAACAAGTTATCCACCCCTGCGACAGTGTGCCCGGAACCCTCAGTCAAACAGCCTGCTCTCCTCAGGCTTGCCCTCTACTGAACAGGAGCCGAGGCAGCCTCACAGACAGCAACACCGACACGGCATGCAGCGCAGCCTGTGGGCAGCGGAGGGCAGCAAGCAACCTCCGCCGGTGCTCAATGGGCCTGCGAGCCTGAGGAAGAGCGCCTCACCTCTTGGTCATCCCAGTAGTCCACACGTGGAGAAGTCTCATCAGGACTCTCTGGAATCATCGTTTCAAGAACCAGTGCTGGGGGGTGCCTCCGATCAGAAGACACACAGACCCAGTACTAAAGGTGCCTTGGTGTCTTAGTCCTTTGCTTTTTATCCTTCCCGAAACACCCCAAATCCATCACTTCAACCACACTGCACCAAAATTTTAGTTAGGGTCTCACTCACCTTGCCACCTGGTGACACTTGTGTCAAAGTGAAGAGGTGCGTCTTTATGAAAAGGGGTGTCTTACAATTGGCATGCTTACTTGTAACCTCTACCAACAGACTTTAGGCAGTCCAGAAACTGCGGTACTTCATAGTTAACCAACGTTTTCAGCTGCCCATCTCCAACTCCGTCCCGGTAGACAATAATCCGACTAGGCATGTATTCGTTACAGCTATTCCACGCCCTCAGAGCAGCTGAAAAGAAAGCCAGGATCATTTGAAAGGAATTAGCACTTACGTCAGAAGGGGTGTGTCTTTCTCCCACACCCTGTTTTTCAATCCCAGAGCTCTAGGATTGCTTCCCGGGAACCCCAGTCCCCAGACCAGCATGCTGAACGCTCAGAAGACTGACCTTGCAGGCAGACCTTCAGCCCATCCACCAGCTCTTGTCCTCTGTCTTGAAATACACACCGAGAGAACCAGCTGTGCAGAGAAAAGCTTGACTCAGGTGAGGAGACAATCATCTACAACATCTCCCCAAATTAGTCTATCAAAGTTTGCTCTTAGCAATTTGTCATCTGTTAACTTTATCGCCAAAAGGTTTTAAGCAACCTTGAACAAACACAAGTATGGAGATAGTGTAGGTCTGTCATGGACACCACGGGCTAAATTTTCTTTAATTACAAATCCACCCTAAATTCCCTCCACTGGTGGGCAGCCAGGCAGAAAGCAGCAGCTCACCCTCCTTGGTCGGCCTTTGAGAGGGTATACAATGCAGGCTCCACTTTTCTCAAAGAGGAAACCTGGAAACAGCCAATGCAATTATCTACCTTACCTTCTCAATCCTCCCTGGGCACTGACAACTCATTGTACCACGTTGGTTGATGTGGCTTTTCAAAATAAAATCTTAACATTTACTCTTCAATATTGCCATAAAATTATTCGATGCAAACATTCTGGGAGATGAATTTATGAGATGCACAAATAACAATAAAAGTAATCAGAAAATTAGCTGTACTACTACAGAACAAGAAGGCCGTGTGAAAACTTAGAAAGGCAGGGCAGCTAATACTTGGCCTTGTTTTCTGGGCTACATGCAATCTGAGAAAACCGGCCGGATAAAACATCTAACATGGATCCTGTAGCTCACAGGCAGACTTGAGAGCTCCCAGTGCCTGGGTTTATGTCTCCGTTGGCCCATGTCTAATGGTTCGGCTTCTTTTACACTCACAGAACCATGGTACCAGTGTGTGGGGTCAAAAATCATGGTTGCTTGGCTCCTTTGGGTGTGGCTCCTCTGAACTGATATTTGTGAAATACACACCAGAAATGCGGAGATTTACAAAAAACGGGGAAAATCTGTAAGAAATGATTACTTTTGGTTGAAATATTTCGATATGCTTAGTAAGATTGCTAAATTAATTTAAAATAGCTTTCTAACATTTCTCAGTATGCTTGTCGATGCCTTATAGCTGGCATTCTTTTCAGTACTCTATGGCTGCCGAGGGCACTGAGAGTACGATGGACTGCCAGCACAAACAAACAGGTCTGCCTGGGAAGAAGGCGAGAATGTTAGGACTGTGTTTCGTGTACTTTGGACAAGTTGTCAGTGGAGGCCAGTCCCTGGAGAAGGACCTCATGTTCGGTAGTGGGGCAAAAAAAGAGGAATGCCGTACACAAGACAGCTTAACACTGTGGCTGCAACCATGGGCTCAAAAGTAACAATGGTGCGGAGGGGGCAGGAGCAGGCAGGGTTTCCTTCTGTTGGACACAGGGTCACTAGGAGTTGGGACCGACCTGACGGCACTGGACAGCGACATGCTTTGCATTTGACTTCTGCTGGCAGGTGGTGACAGGCGTCTGTTGCAGCCTGCTCTCCCACCTTCTACCCTCCAGCTGGATGGCTGGCTGCCTCTCCTCTTGAGCCTGGTCAAGCTATTGCTACCGAATCTCACTCACCGGGTCATCCCTTCATTGATGCTGGCAACAAATCCTGCAATCGACCTCCGACCAGCAGTGGTGTCATGGTAACAGTCGATACCAACGATCATCGCCAGCTTCAGCTTAAACAGAAACAGGGTCGTGTTGGAAACTGCTCAACCCTGCCAACACTGAGGATGTCAGGGGACATGTCTCCCCTCCCTCAGACTTACTGGCATATCCACCCTCCAGAGCTCTCCTCCCATCTTGCAGTTCATCTGGAGGGCGATCTTCGTGGCAATGGCCATGACAGTCTGCTGCTTCCCCAGGGTTCGGGCCACCACACACTGGCTGGGGGTGGGGCAGTCTGTACACAAGTACTTCTTGATGGCATCATACTTGTCCTTCCGATTGCTTGACAGCAGGCACACAACCTGAACAGAGACAGTCAAGACGCGCTCAGTTCCACCGATTGGCACACTCAATTCAGGTCAGTGGTACAGATATCCAAGGTAATCCTCTCTTTAAGGCACACAGCAAGTCTGCATGGCACGGATGTGTCTTAGATCATGCTCACTGTAGTCAGCTTAATAACGTGGAGAAAAAAAATGCTGTTACACAATTCAAAACTAGCCATCACTTACTCCTGAGAGACCAGTCACACAGTCAGTGTGAGCAGTCTGAAGGAGTCACAGGCATCTCCTGGAAGGCGAGTCACCGCCTGGGAGAGCCTGGCTTTTCCAACACCATGTAAGGATCCAGTTTAAGAATTTCACCAGGTGAACAATCGCACCTACCCCACCGCACCCCGCCCCTGCACAAATGGGCTGCGGGTCTGAAAGTGCTTGTCCAACCCAGGGCTGCAGAGGGTGACGGCAAGCTCACGCAGCTCACTCATCACACTACATTACAAGTCGCCATCCCAGTTTCCCCCAAACTTCTAGTGGGTTAAACACAACAACAACAACTGTGTGTGATGAGCTCTGAATCATTACAACTGACTGCGTCAGACTGAGCCACGACCGTGGCTTCCTTCCCCTCTGCCTCTGCTCACCTGCTGGAGCACAGAAGCCCAGGCCCATGTCCACAGCAAGCACTACTGTACTACCTCACCCAGGGTGCAGGGAAGAACCCTGTCAGAAAAGGAACCCAACCCTTTTCTACTCACTGAGAGACAGAGAGATGTGGCAAGCAGAACCTTGTCAAAAACAGAAAACTTTGGAATGTGAGGTCCCCAGTGAGTTCCGGCTCTCACAGGTTTCACTGTATATGAAGGGACTTCACCAAGTCCATAGAGAAATGAAATGAAAAGATAATGGCATTTTCCCACAAACGTTGAGATGTCCTCCTGTACTTAACAGCCAAACTCATGGCCATCAGGTTGATGCTGACTCCGAACAACCTTATAGCGTGGCTCAGAACTAGTCATGTGGGTTTCTGAGACACGTTTTACAGGATTAGAAAGTCACCTCTTTTTCCTTTGGAGAGGCTGGCGGGGAACTGCTGACCTTGTGTTTAGCAGCCCAACTTTAAGCACACAACCACCAGGGCGCCTCCCCCTGGTATCGGAGGGTAGAAAGTATAGAAACCTTTAAGAGGCATATCAAAACAGGAAGCTTTTGTTTCTTGACATAGCCTCCACCAAGGACTTCCCTCTCTGGCAGTGGTGTTTCCCCCTCGACCTCTCCCCGAGGACTTCTGCGCTGACTGGTGCACTGTCAGTGGCAGTTTGGGTACATTCAAAGCACTACATTCATGTTCTTTCAGTTTGGGGAATGAAAACAAGTCTGAAGGGGCATCGATCACAGCTATGGGATGGGTGGGGTCAGGCTTCCTTGTTAAATTCTATGTCAGCCCTTGCTGCCCTTTTAAAAATGAGCATTGTCCTAGTGGAAAGAATTCCTCTGTGAAATATTCCTTGTCTTTTTCTCACCGATGTTATCAATTTTTTAAGACGTCTTCCTAAGTCTCCATGATTATCTCAGACTTCAAGAGAATCTATCAAGATAACCCCTTTGGGATCCTTCCCACACACTCACTTACCTGTTGAGCTGACTTTTCTGCCATGTGTACATGGTTTGAGGTCTTCCCACCCTTCCCTACACGTGCTCAATGCATCCCAAACCCGTGTGGGGGGCAGCATTCCCATAATCTTGCATAGGCAGATGCCGTCATGTAGGGTATGTACACATGAAAGCATCCTTTCATCTGCAGGCACTACTCAGACTAGAGATGCAGCCCTGGGGCACCGCTGGGGAAGCACTGGACCGCCAACTGCAAGGTTGTTAAAGCCGCAGAAACCCCCCAGGGGGTCACTCTGAGTCAGAGTCCACTTGCTGGAAGGGAGTTTTCTTTTTACTTACGGCTAAGACAAGGGTATCACTGAGAAAACGTCGCTGCAGCCATCCACTGATGGCAGAGACACGTTACTGCATGTTCCGGTGGGTAAAAAACTGCGTTTATGAACAGGGCCTCCAGGTGGCAGAGTGGAGCACGTCTTGAGCTGCTTACCTCAAGGTCAGCCATTCACACCCACCAGCCACCGTGTGTGGGTAAGATAAGTTTTTTGCTCCTATAAAGATTTACAGCCTCAGAACCCCTGGGCAGGTCTAGCCTGCTGCACAGGGTTGCTGTAAGTCAGAATAAGCTGCGGACACCGAGTTTGGTTAGTTTGTTTAAATGTGAGCTGGAACCCCTGGACCCGACCTTCGTAAAGTTGTGACTAGTTTGAGAAACTATAAAATCCTGGGAAAATGACCTCAGTGTTAAGATTTATAAAAGCCCCTTTGAAACTACTCATTCACTGAAAACTGCCTGGGTATTTCATTCTGTTATGTACACACAGTGCGACCTCAAGAGGGAGCCACCTGGAGGGCAATGGACAAGGACAAATCAGGTAGCTACTTACGATCTGTGTATCTGAGGTAACCTTTTGCTGTAAGACTCGTAAATAGGCTTCTGTTCTGTCATCCACCTCAATCCTAGAATGGAAGTACATAATCCAACATTCAAGAAAAGTGATCAAACATGGGAAATGCATAAACAATTCTGTATTGATTACAGCCCATGGCGCATTTCTGTCTCAAATACTGCATGCTTCTAATACCCACCCCACTCACAATGGTTTCATCTCAGGCTTTCTCCCAGCCACTCCCAGTTAGTAAAAGGCATTTCTGAGCAGTGGCATTACAGGGAGCCATGTCAGCACTCTTTCTTGCTGCTGCTCCTTTAAATGGTCTGAACCACTTTTGAGTCTCCTAACCTTTCAAAACGTCAGTGGCTCTGCAGGGCCGAAAAGGACTTGAGAAACTCACATGACTGCCTTTTTCATCTGTATGCCCATGGCTGGAGTGACTTTAAACAGGTTTTGGATCAGTGAATTTGCAGCCTCATAGTTTCTCCGAGTGTAGATCAGCAGCCAGTTGTCCAGGGGCTTGACACTGATGAGTGGGGCCCCTCTGGTTTCTTTTGACCAGTCTGCGTATTGTGGGTTGTAATCAAACTGGAAGAAAGGTCAGACGCGCTGAAAAGGCCAAGTGTCTTCTACTGTTCACCATGTATTTTCTGAACATCAGAGCATCAGTCTTATGGCTAAATTGCAGGGACAGACAAAATGCACCCCGTGTCCACTTCCCTTACACAGACAAGGTCACCGTCACAGCTCCCTGTTGTGATCATCCTCTGCCCTCCCCGCCTCAGTGGGTCTCCTCTGTCTCTAGGGTTTACGAGGGTAGGTTGATTTTTCCTGTAAAGTCAAACGGCCTGACTGAGGTGGCAGGACCCTGAAAGGGGCTGCCGGAAATTCCTCCAGCAAAGCGGCAAAGGGCAGGAGCTCAGAGGGACAAAGTAATCAAAATACACAGATACCATCAAAATGCTACATCACATGATCCGACTGGCATGCACAGGACATGTAGAAAGCAGGAAAGCCGCTGTCTTCTGTAAATAAATTGGTCCCTGGCATTTGAAGACAACTACGTAACACTGACTTTTCTTCTACTAGCTTTTCCTTTCCTGAAGAGAAACCAGCAAAGCCTGGACAGTAGACTGAGTATGTGTCCCTTCGAACAAATGGTCCCGGCAACACGGAAGCCAAATGAAGTTGACGGTTTTTTTTTTTCATGTTAGTGGCAAGCCAATTACCAACCCCATCAGATGGCTCAATTTAAATAAGTCAGGTTATTACAAAAGAATTACGCCAGCTTTTGGCTAAGTCTTGCCCATGCCTTAGAAGACTCAGCCACAAGTGACCCTTTTCAGTGTCGCCTCTGAGTCCAAGTCGGCTCATTTCTGAAAACCCAGGCTGGTCAGCATTTGCTGATGGAGGGTGGGGATGGCAGGTGAGACAAGGAGGGGCTGTAAAGACTCTGACCACTGAGAGTGACCAGTAATTCCTACCGCTTTTACTGTGACTCTGCCCCAAATCTCACTTGAGAGTACTGAGTGGGCTTACTGTTTTTCCACCTTGGTGAATCTTTTCTGTTTGCAGAATTCTTCCTGAGAAGGACAGTAGGTTAGAGTCAAAGCTCAAACCCCAGTCTCGCAGTTCCCTCTGCACGTTGTCGTCTCTGTGGGTGAACAGATGCAAGCACCACTCACCCCACAGGAATGGAGAGCCCACCCCAGTGTGCACACACTGCGAGTGCCTTCCTCTGGAGACTGAAACCTCGGCGAGAACATAGGCTGGGACCTGCTCACGTACAATCCACGCCTCTCTCACCACCTCCATGCTGCTCTCCTTTGTGTTGTCTGTCTCAGTGCTCTTGATGGTCAGCCTCCCACCTCGCGCCCTCCAGGGAAGCCCCCTGATATAACTAGGGGCATCTAGAAGAAACTAGGTTTCTCCTCCATTCGTTACCTCCTTCTAGTGGAGAACTGGAAGGTCATGGACCACCAGGCTTGATATTGTTATTATTACTCCAGAGAAACCGTAGCCTCACTGAACAACACAAAGCACGAACCCACCCAAACACTTCCCCGTCCCTCCTGCTGGACAGAGCCACCTCTGAACCCCACAGACAGTAAGTACTGCACAGACACTGGAACTGCCACCTCAGGGAAGGACGTACTTATGGATGTAGTCAATGAGCCGGCCGACTTCCCGCTGCCTCTGCTCGGGAGTCAGTCGTGTATGAACAGCAAGGTCTTTCATCACGTTGAAGTCATTCCGCATCTTATCAGTCAGACCTTCATACAGACGACAACAACAACAACAAAGCAGTAAGGTGCATCTTCCAGGAACAAAAGTCTAGTTTAGTAACCCCTGAGGTGTGGGTGGTAATGAGTGGAACCAGTTCCCAGGAGAAAAGTCTGTTAGAAGGTGTGTTTGGGGGGGGCTGGGGAGGGGAAGTAAAGACCTCTTTCAGGGTTATGGGCCGAGCGTGCAGTCCTCCCGGCACATAGCCCCACCATACCTGTCAGGTAGCAGAGCTCAGGAATGAGCATGGCGGGTCCTGGCAGTGAGCCCCCAGGGCCCCTCCTCCTCTTGGGCTGACTAACCAACACTGGTTGCTTCAAGTCGGTGATTTCTTGGTTATATTGCTATTCAAGGGGAGGAGAAAGATGAAACCGTTCATAGCTACAGGTTTCCCTCTTAATTAAGAACTGACACCACAGCGAGGCTGGTATAACTTTCTTGTTTAAAAACCTACGTTTTAATTCCCCAAGACAGACTGTGATTCCTATCCTCTAGTGAGTGCACCTCAGCAATCTATGGTCGATTGTGCTTGTGTTTTTTCTTTTGCTGTCTGGAATTAGAAGGAGACCCCTAACGCCTCATTCCTGTAAGGCCACTTGAACCACACAGCCATCCATACTGCACAGAATAGACAGTTAGAAAGCACACATCAACAGCAGCTAGGAACCCAGGAGATGTGCACTAACATTTCAAAAATAGGTAAGGCCTAGCAGGGCAAGGGAACAGAGTGGAATCAGTGGAAGTCAGTAGTTCCCTTGATAGCAAACTAGATGAAAGAATCAGAAAAATGAAGTAAGCCCAAGAGTTATGAGGAACAACATCAAGAGGAATGACTTACATGTAATTAGAATTCCAAAAGAAGAAGAGACAAAAAATAAAGAATTGAGGACATTTTAAAAGATTTTCTAGCGGAAATCTTCCCAAATATCATGAAATGAGAAGATATCCACCTAAGAGGTTCAATGAACCCCAAGCAGGACAGACCCCACAAGAAAAGCACTAGGGGCGATAATGAAGGAATGTCCTAGTAGCAGAGGTAAAAAGCCCAAGCGTCACCAGCACAACTGCGCTCCGACTGCTGGGCAGAAACCAGTTGGGCAAGAAGCCCATGGGATGACCCACTGTGCCTCCAGCACGCCTGGCCCTCCAAGATACTACTGAAATAAGGACGCTTCCAGATAAACAGACATTAAGTAAATCTGTAAAAATGAGGCAAATCTTACAACAAATAGTAGAGTGTTCTTCATATAGAGAACCAAAATGTTAGCCAAGACTCATGATGAGATCACCTGGAAACTGAGCCAGATAAACAATTTTCAAAAATAAAATAAAGCTACAAGACTGAAAATAGGGAACCAGAGGTGCATCAGTAAATGACAACTTCAAAATGGGAAGAGGAAATACATGGTATAGTAATCACAGGGGAGGCCGAGGCGATGCCAAGATAGGACAGGGTGTCCTAAACTTACTCCACTGCTCCCACAGAGTGGATTCCCACTCAGTGACCCGAAAATATTCGGTCCACAAGAGACACCTCTTAAACACAAAGATTAAAAACGGAAAATAAAAGGGTGGGGGAAGGGTGAAAAATCAAGCAATGGAAACCAAAGAAAATCAGGGAGGCATGATGAATTTTTGATAAAGCATGGCAAAAAATAAGCAAGAGAGACAAGGAAGAGCATTAAATTACTATTAAAGGGTCAATTAAAGAGGACAGAATACATACATACATATGGACCCAATGAAAGAACCTCAAAATACGTAAATCAAACTAACAGAATGGAAAACCACCATAGCAGGAGACTTCCAGACATCACCTTCGATGAAGGCCATAGCAATGTGTAAATGCCACAGAGATCCCTATTGCTCTCGAGTCTGACAGTGACCCTCTAAGACGAGGGTCTCCAAGGCCACCCATGGTAATGGAAGCGGACTGTCTCATCTTTTCACTGCAGAGTAGCTGGTGGGTTGAACTGCTGACTCTTTGGTTAGCAGCCTAATGCTTAATCTACTTAATGCCACGAAGGCTCCTAAAAAGATATGTAAGAATTTAACACCTCCAATCAACCAAGTTGACTTTACAGACATACGATGGAGTACCCTCCCACCCCCAAAAGCAAAACAAAACAAATTGTGCTGGGCAGAGCAGAGCTTTCGTAGTACACATTTCTCTTGCTAGGCGAGCATCTCAAACAACGTGCTCTGAGTTAGCGCCCCCGGTCGCGTTGTCTGGGAAGGTTCTCTCTGGTCACAGTGAATTTTTGTGTAACAGCAGTTTTGCTTGCACCTTGTTTTTTTGTGATAGCCAATTTAAGAGAACAGTGTGCGGCTATACAATTTTGTTCCCTGCTCAGGAAAAATACCGCAGAAACTATTGTGATGTGTTGGACACAGCTTACAAGGACAGCACTGTGGGAAAAACTCAAGTGTACAAATGGTTTTCTCATTTCAAAAAGGTGAAATGTCTATTGATGACAAACCTCATTCTGGACGTCCATCAACTTTCCTTATACAGCAAACCCTATTCAACATAAACGCTTTTCTAGCCCACATGGGTCACTCTCCAGAAAAGATTGCATGTTACACCACAGAGCAAACTTCAATAAAATTTAAAAAAATATATCAAAAGACTGTCCACACACCCAGGGTCAAGGGCACAACAAGTGATCTAAAAAATCAATGGTAAGGAGGGCATAGGATGCCTGGTGGTTCTTGATCCAGGGCAATGTAACTGAGGGGGAATTATAGACACCCAAATGAAGGCTGAACATGATAGGGGGACAAGAGGAAAATAAAAGGAAATAGAGGAAAGAACTAGGAGGCAAAGGACATTTATAGAAGTCTAAATACAGGCATGTACATAGGGAAATAGATCGAAGTACATATATCTATATGTTAAGTATTAAGGTAGCAGGTGACATTGGGCCTCTACTCAAGTCCTCCCTCAACACAAGAACACTTTATTCTAATAACCTGGGATTCTGTGATGCTTACCTTCCTGACTCGATCACTAAAGACAACATGTGTGCCTGGCTATCAAAAGATAGAGCCTCTGGGGTCCTTAAAGGCTTGAAGATAAACAAGCAGCCATCTAGCTGAAAAGCAACTAAGCCCACATGCAAGAAGCCCACCAGCTTGTGTGATCATGAGGTGTTAAATCAATGGGATCAGGTATCTAAGACCCAGAACAAAAAAATCATATTGATGTGAATGAGGGGGAGGGAGGAGTAGAGGCTCAAAAGCCTATCAGTAGACAACTGGACATCCTCTTACAGGAAGGTCAAAAGGAAGAGACGAGCCAGTCAGGGTGCAGTATAGCACCGACAAAACATACAACTTTCCTCAGTTCTTTAATGCTCCCTCCATTCCATCATGACCCCAATTCTACCTTACAAATCCGGCTAGACCAGGGCATGTACACTGACTGGTACAGAAAAGAGCTGGAAACATAGGGAATCCAGGACAGATAACCCCCTCAGGACCAATAATAAGAGTAGCAATGCCAGGAGTATAGTGGAGGGGAAGGTGTAGGGAAAAAGGGGGAACTGATCACAATGATCCCCAGGGTAACAAACAACAGGAAAAACATGGGTAAAGGGAGAGAGATGATGCAAGATATAAAAATGAAAATTTTATATAATTCAGCAAGGGTGGATGAGGGAGGGAGGGTGGAGGAGGAGGGAGAAAAATGAGGAGCTGATACCAAGGGTTCAAGCAGAAAGAAAATATTTTTTAAATGATAGCAACAAATGTACAAATGTGCTTGACATAATGGATGTATGTATGGATGTGGTAAGAGTTGTATGAACCCCAATAAAATCAGAAATCATGAAGAGGAACAGAGGAGGGAAAAAAAATCAAATACATAGAATCTGACGTAAACATTGTGTTTTAATATCATTAAGTCACTCTCCTCCCTCATTCACTGCCAGAGACCATAGGACAGGGTGGAGTTTCCAGGTTAACATTACAGGCGTAGAACGCTCTCTCTTTCTCCCTCGGAGTGGCTGGTGTTTTCGAACTGCTGCCCACTACATAAATATTATGCCACCAAGGTTCCTAAAATAACACGGTAACAGAATAAAAATAGAAATAAATGTCTTAAATCAAACAAGAATGAAAGCACAAGGTTATCAAAACCTTGAGGACAGGACATAAGCAGCGGTCAGAGGGCAATTTACAGCCACAGACAAACACAACAAAAAGGAAGAAAGAGGCAAAATCAACACCTACTCCAACAAATACAAAAGTGTGCGTGCGTGCGTGCGTGCGTGCGTGTAGGTTCAATCACCAGAAGGAAGTAAAAAGACTGGAACAGAAATAAATGAAATAGAAAATAGAAATATAAGCCGAATCAGTAGTAATATTAGAAGGTGAACAAAATCAACGGACTGCTGCCAAATCTAGAGGAGGATGGGAATGAAGAAAGGGAAAACCAGTGACACCGCGACAGAGCCAACGGAATTAAAAAGGACCAGAGATTAGGAGGAACTGTACTCCAGCAAATTTTCAAACTAGAATTGACAAACTTCTTGAAATATACTGTATCAAGTCAGAGTAACACAGACTGAGGGAGAGAGTTTGAATAGACCCCTAACTAAAGAAGACATGGCACGTGTCATTTAAAAACTCCCAACAACTCCCCAATTCCAACAAAACTCAGTCAGACCCCTTTCTGTTAATGAGAAACACAGTACCATTTCCAACAGCCCTGACCCGGAGAGCTTTCCCAGCCAATTCTACCAAAGTAATACCAAACACCAACGACACGCAGACTCTTCCAGAACACCGAAATGAAACATTCCTGAATCAGCTTATGAAGCAAGCATAACCTGATAGCAAATCCAGACAAAGACACCACTAAAAAGAGGATTAAAACAAATATCCCTCATGAATAATGATACCTAAACTCTCAATAGAACCCTGGCCAACAGATTCCAACCACACACAAAACAAATGAAAAGAACCCCATATTTACATCAATAGATACGGAGAGGTTATTTAACAAAATCTGACACTCGCTCCTCATAAAAACACTAAAAAAAAAAAGGGAATAGAAAGAAAATGCCTTAACATACTTATAACATACAAAACCAATGACCAACGTTACTCCCAGTGGGAAGAAACAAAGCGTTCTCATTGCTAACAGGAACCAGACACGGGTGCCTTTTACCACCAGTTGATGGCAGAGTTTGAGTTTTTGATTCAATATTGTGCTGAAATCTTAGGCAGAGCTACCAGGCAACAGGGGGAATTAAAAGCACCCAAATTGGCAAAGATGAAAATTCCATGCACAGCTATACACAGGATCATAACCAAGAGACTACAAGAAAACTAAACTTGT